GCTGTTGTTCAGCATCTTAGCTGTGGAGGGCAGTGTCACTGGCCCTCACATGTGGGATCCGAACCGGGGCCCTCTGGCATCCCAAGCGAGTTCTCAACCATCGCGCCACTAGGCCGGCCCTCATTTTCATTTTTAATTTTACTTCAGAGCCACCTGTATGTACCCAAAGAGCCACATGTGGCTTGCGAACCACAGTTTGCCAACCCCTGGTCTAGATTATTTCAACAACTATTTGTCGAGCAACCTTTAGGTGCAGAATCTTGTGTTATATCCTCCGAGGAATGAAAAGGGATGGGGGAGAGAGAGACAGCCTCAGACCATAAAGGCCAGTGAGACACTTAAGGTGAGTGAATGGTTAAGAGCTCACACTTAAGTCATGCTCACTGTTAAGATCCATTCTAAGCACTTTATGTGTATTGACTCATTCAATTCTCACGACAGTCTCATTACATAAGGTCTATTGTTACTATCCCCATGTTACAGATGAAGAAATAGAGGCTCAGAGAGTTGCAGTGTCCTGCACAATGCGAACCAGCTAGTACATGGCAGAGCTAGACTTTGAATGGAGGTGATCTGGCCCTAGCACTCATGCTCTACACCATTACTCCAAACAGAATTAGGTTTGACAAAGAAGAGGAAGGAGTATATTCCAGAACAGAGGAAAAGATGTAAAGCGCATTTGGAAGTAAGCCTGTGGGAGGAATGTGACTGACCACGGGCAAAGCTTTATAGAAAAGGTACAAGTTAGCACACAGTGAAGAAAGGGAGATTTTAAAGAGTCTTTAAAAATCAATATTTAGTATTTGTTTTCACACATCATCCGTAGAATATGCAACATGTCATTTCAGAAGTTTATTGTGATCTTAAACTGCATAAACTGCCTGTGTTAAAAATGAGAAAAAATTGAATCCTGAAGTAAATCGATTTATTTGAGGAAATAACTATAATTGCAGCGGGGTTAGTCACAAAACAAATGCGTGACAGTAACACATTTTCTTGGATGTTTCTGAAGTCAAAGTATGCAAATCACACGTTCATATTACTGCTTTTTAGAATCACATGCTGATCTATTGATGTAGCTAAGCCCCACAGTTCAAAGGTATTTAACATTAACGCCCAAGATCATTTCTGCTTTGCAGAAATCCAGTGCCGTGGAATTATTCCACTGCGTAACAGGCTCTGGTTCTCACTTGCTGGGCAGATCAAATGACTTCTGCAGGGCTGAATGCAATTGGGGAGGAAACAGCCATTGAAAAAGCATCCCCTGCACTACTAGGGAACTCAAAGAGCTATCACATTGGGATAAAATAAAAGAGAACTCTTTCTCAATGGAGATCTCATGGTCTAGCATCAGAAAATCAGTTCCTTAAGAATCTTTTAATTTTTTTGAAGCCTGACACAGTAAGACAAGACAGGAGGGAAAAAATCCTTTCAAATACACAAACTTCTGTTATATCTGATAGACAAAGAGTCTATATGGTCTTTTTCAATCTTCAGGATTATCACAGACATGCAAAAAAGTTATCAAATTTTTAGTTGTTCCCAAGAATGTTCTTTTCTCCCCCCAGCTGTTTACTTACTAATCATCTATAAACCAGTTAGTGAAACTGTTTATAGAGGGAGAGTAACACCCCACCCCTGGCACAGAGTTTCATTTCATAAGATGCCTGTGACCAAGCAGACTTGATCAACCAAACCCTTTCACAACCCCAAAAAGACACCAGGACCCATTCACTTTTGACAAACCATACTCTTTCTAGCCTTTGTACTGGAGCACTTCGGATGTCTGCTAAATTGCTATTTGTTACAAAGCATGCTTTTCCTATGACAGATGCCCCCAATTCCTTCTCCCCGCTGAGCTCATGGAATCACAGCTGTGTTGTACCACAAGTACAGTGTTGTCACATTCTTGCTTTGTTTAATTATTCAAGTTGGTTCCACCACAGAATTAAACTTCCTGGGGATATTATGGGATTTCAGCACAAATAACGCTCGTGACCACATAGATGCCAACCCTTGCCAAGTATCTACATGGACTCCACTTCTCACTCACAGTGGTGAATGATGCATCCCCCCTAATAACCAGGAGCGGAGCTAGATGGAACAGTTTAATCAGAAGCACTTTGCCTTCGGACTGTATCAGAATCCTTAAGGCTGGGAGTCTCTGCTTGTTCAAGGTCAGCATAAATCAGAAGCTCCACCTAGAAGTTACCTCTTCAAAACTCAGGATCTGACCAATTCATGAGCCCTGGTTCAAGGTTGTAGTTTCCTGAATTTAATAAAAATGTCAGGATCAATTTTATCCTCTGAAGCTTATTTTTTCTTTCCTCTTCCCAAAGTACTTTTAAAAGCATAGGTAAGTGTTTATCTGTAAACTAGACATAGTGCAGTACTCCAGTGGGATTATGGCAAGACTAATTGAGAGTGTTTATTCTCTTACATCCCATGGAATTTAACAACAACAACAAAAAAAAAAAAAAAACAGAAATTTACGAGAGGGAAGAGGCTAGAGATTATTTAGTTATGTCTAGCTAAAGTCTCTCATTTTGCAAAGAAGAAATGGAGGCCCAGCTCGGTAAAGAGGCTTGAAAGCATCCCAGAGTGAAGGAGAAGAGCTCCACCTCCTAGTCCAGGCTCTGCCCCTGGGCCACACCGCCTCGGTTACTGAAGAGAAACCAAAGGAGACCGTGTCTATCATCCCGCCCTCCTCTCTTCCTCTGCAGCTCACCAGGGGTGAGTGTCTTTCTCTCTCTTGAAGAGAGAAAAATCTTAACTGTGCAGCCTCTCTGCTGTGTTACAGTGTAAACGGTGGGCTAGAATAGAGCCAGCAGGAGGAGGGGGCAACTGTGGGGAGGTTGTATTTATAGGGCAAAGGGCCTCCCAGATCCCTACGACATCCTGGTGCCTCAGTGTCTACGGGCTACAAAATCAGTGCATAGAAAGGGACTTTTCTTGGTCACCGTGTAACTAGGAGCGCAGCTGCCCTGGCGGCCGCACGACTCTCCAGGAGCAACCAGGCATCAGTCCAGCACCTCTGAGAACTGACGGAGCTAGGGGAGCTGACTTTTTCCCTCCACACTTGGAAAGACGCATTGCTTGAGTTCTCCCAGGCTGGGAGGGGAGAAGTGGTCGGAGGCTACAGAAGCTGAACCCAAAATTACCCATTCACAAGGCACAGCCATCATTTCTCTAATTTACGGAGAAATATGGGGGGAGGGGGAGAACAGAGGTGTTTGGTGTAAGGTACAGTCTCAATATTTCAAAGATTATCAGTACCTTTAGCTAGTTTTTTTTTTTTTCCTGACTGACATAGAGACACAGATTTCTTAGAATTTTAAGGGATCTGAGAAGTCAGCAAGTACAAAATACCAATTAACTGAGGTATCAGGCTAAAAGCCTTCCAATTCATCATCAAGAGATGAAAATGAAATATAATTTTTAATTTGCTTAGTTGTACTAATAAAACACTTCCCAGGAGAGCGGGAAGACTGAGACTGTTGCCTAAATATTTTGCTGTCCTGTGAATTTCAGTTAACTGCTTTCTTTGTGCCTCAATCACAGGCACAGGTAGCCTAGAGTTGCTTATGATTTTAGGTAATTTTCAAGACAAATAGTTCACAAAATGCTTACTATGTGCCAGGCACTTTACAGGGAAAGACAGATAGCAAAAACGAATAGGACTTGGTCCTGCCATGAAGGAGCATCTAACAAAGGCAAGTAACTGGACAACTCGATCTACATTTATGTCCTCACCTCTGGCCTGCCTCCTAAACTCAAGTCCTGAACTTTTAAGAAGCTGCTTAACCTCTGCCTCCCTTGCACCCATGTATGCCTATCTCGAGGTGAAATGTGTAAAGCTGAATGCTTTGTTTTCCCTCCAAAATTGTTTTGGGTTTTTTTGGGGGGTTTTTTTTGGTTTTTTTTTATAAATGGTGTCACTATTTTCAAACCTGAAAACTTGGAGTCAGTTTTTCCTTATTTTCAAACTCAATCCTATTGTTCCTTCTTTCATAATCTTTGGATTCCATTCTTCTGCTCCAGTCTCACTGCCTCATGTCTTTACATCTGTGTCAAGGTGCTCACATACTTTTGCACTAGTAACTAATTCTTCTAATTCCCCCTGCCTCTAGGCTGTCTCACTACCTTGCATACTATTACTTGAGAAAGCTTCCGAAAGTATCTCTTTAATCTTACCACTCGATTGCTCAAAAATGTGCTTGAGAAGAATCAATTGTTTTAGCTTGGTATTTTCAATGTCCCATTCTCTAGTGACTACTTTCTGTCTGTCATCTCCCCTGACTCCCCAAAGATGTATTCTTTTCCATAGGTGCCGGTTGCTAATCTTTTCCTCTCCCTGGAATACCTTCACCCCATCGCCACCCATTACCACCCTGAATAATTCCGGGTGGCTTTTTCTGCTCATCAGTTCATCTTCTCTTAATTCCCTGAGCACCTATTATATGTACCATCCATCTGATCCTATAACATCATACACTGTCTAATACTACTGTTATTTTTCTATATGTCTTCTATTACGTATTTAATGAGTATTAGTAAAGTACAAGGGGATGTGCTAGGCAGTTTAGGTATTCAATGATAAGAAATATAGTACAGAGAACAAACATGTATGCAAATAACATGAATATGTAGCAGCACTTGATAAAAACTATTAGAAAGTTAGAAACTAGGAATCCAGAGCAAAAAAAAAAAAAAAAGATTACCTGCAACTGTGGGCATCAGGGAAAAAAAAAATCCGTGGAGAAGGCAGCATTTAACCTAAACCCTGAAATTTGGATAGCATTCTATGATGTCTTAAACATACCAGATTCTCCAAGAATATGTGTTGATGAAATAAATAATGAGTAAATAAATGAACTAATGAATCATGAAAATGGACCCAAAGTACAAGGTGATTTATCAAAAATCACCCACTAACTTAAAACAAAGGTTAGAAAAACTTATGTAAATGGCCCTTGAGCAGTTCTCAATCCTAATAGACATTCCAGCCTTTTTTTTTTTTTCCTTTAATCTTCAGGTCTGCTCAGATCTTGCTCGTGGTCTACCAGAGGTGTGTGATATTATTGTACCATTCCAGAGGTGGGCAGTATCTGAGAGCCAATAGAGAGATGGATACAGGCCTGCCTTTCAAGTGCCTGTAACTCTACACTGCTCCTGGAAATCTCTTTTGTCCAGGGTAGGAAAATAGCCTTAGCCTTTCTGAGAGCAGGAGAATGTCTTGAAGGCAGCTTTGCAAACTGCATTTGTCCTATTTGTAACAAGCCCAGGAGCAGTCACTCAGCACATGTTACAGCTGGGGCAATAAAAAGTATCGAACATCAGAGAATTATCCAAAGTCACAGAGGAAACCAGCAACAAGTAGACTCAGCAGCAAGGGGCTGGGGTCCTCTGCCCCATGTCCAATGAGTCACGCCACCTCCAGTTAGGACTAGTTGGTGTAGCCAGAATTAATCCCAGGGCTTCCTTTGGCTGTGGGACCTTTTGACGACGACTCCAGTCTCTTTATGTATTAACTGCATCAACTCTCCCACCTGCCATGTACTAAGCTTCCCACCCCCACAGGCACTGACATTACAGGTGCCTAAAGAGGAGGTTATAAATATTAATCGAGAGAGTGAACTTCATGCCTGAGAATGTTATGACAGTTGAAGTAACACATAAGACAGAAATTGCTTCCACTGAATAAGAAGAGATCTTTTCTCTGTGTGAAGGCTCCGCCTGCAATGTAATTTCCTGTAGAGGTGGCACATGAAGGAAAGAGTAGAAAAGCAAACCAATATGGTTCTTTATAATGAATGCATTGATGAGGTCTTATGAAAGTAAATAAAATTCCTGTAAAACACTAGGAAATTTCTTTGAAAATAGCCCATAAATTGGCCATAAAGGTTACCTCAGCCTGAAAGGCGAGGCCATGAATATAATTAGGACTCACTAAAAGAACCCAGACCAAGGGTGAGGAGGGGTCTCTGTACTGTGCAGTGTGAAGGGAGAAACCAGAGAATGGTCAGGTAGGAATGTTAATTGCCTCTTGAATAGACCCCCGAGGAGATCCTGCAGGCCCTCTCCATTCACTTTTGGGGTGAGGCCCAGTTACGGGGACAAGAGGCTAACCATAAAAATGTCACCACTAGGCTCATTTCCTGTCTTTGTGCAGTCAACAGCAGTTGTGATTACTCCCAGGCTCAGATATTTCTCCTGTATTGTTGAGTCTAAAGATATAGGAAAGGTACAGAAAGTGATTCCAAAAATCCTTGGATTTTTATAAACCCGGTAATTAAGGATTTAAAATCATTACGTTGGGTCCTCTTACTAGTACCTTATTAAAGCATGTTTATATTAGTAGCTCATGTTTCTACAGCTTTTCAGGGTTTACAAATGATTTTTTTTGTTTGTTTGTTTGTTTGTCCAGATTGCCTCATTTGAACCACCCACAAAGTATGTAAGGTAAGCTAACCGAGGAAATTTAAAGGGCTAGCTCAAGATCAACTAATGCCCCAGATGGTCCAGGGGGTTTCACCAGTCAGAGCTGTTGGGTCCTTTCACCAAGGTGAACTACTGTGCCGAGGAATGCATTAGGTGCTGCTGCACATTGCTTCCGTGTGCAGGGTCACTGGTCCATGTGTGAGATGACCTCAGTGAAATGTGGATGAGAAAGAACAAGTATTCTCCAATTATTGTGTGAAAGTACAGACTTAAGGAATGTTAATCTCTCCCTAATGAAATCTTTGGGAATGTACTTCTCTCTGGTGCTAGATATTGGGCCAGTAGGAAGCCTACAAGTCCTGTACAGTGTAAATTTAAAAATGTAAAGATACACACACTCACACATATATATATAATTTTAATATCTATATATTGGGGGTGCCAAAAAATGTACACAAGTGGACACTTTGGTCAACGTTGCTCAAGCAATAGTTGGTCGTAATCAGAAGTGCCTGGATGCTGATAGTAACTACTTTGATCACCTCTTGTAATTACAGAAGTCAAATATGATTTGTATTCATCTCTTGTTTTTGGTATATATTGAGTATTACAATTTTAATAGTTTTTTTTCCTTTTTTAAACCGTGTATAAATTTTTTTTGGCACCCTCTTTATATGTGTGTGTGGGTATATAAGATCAACCAGTTTCTTGCAATAAAATGGATGCAGAAATTGTTAATATTTAGGGTCCACAAAATTCAATAATTCTTGTGAAATTCAGTAAACATGTAAGTGTACTGTAGAAATAACTGAATATAGGTATTAACAAATTCCAGAAAGGAAAGACAATAGAAAAGGGGACTGCACCATATTCTTAATGAGATAATCATTTAGACATTTTTTCTTTAAAAAATTTTCATATCTTCACTTTTCGTTGAAAGTATGACATATAGGTGGTGCTGCTAAAATACATTACAGAGATCTCTAATAATTACCTTTATTTATCCCTCGCTGCATTAAATGACCAGTGGGGAACCCTCAGAGACTCCTGGGTGCAGCATGGAGGCGTGGTTACAAACTTTACCATGAAAAGAACTAGGTCCAAAACCAACTTCTCTTACTAGGTAAGCAATTGAGAGTAACATTCTTTTTTTTTTTTTTAATTACTCTCTTTATTTTTTATTTATTTATTTTTTTAAAGATTTTTATTGGGGAATGGGGGATTGGAACAGTGCTGGGGAATTGGGGGAAGGGCAACAGACAAGTTGCTGTCGTTTTGTTCTTCAGTCGAGTTGTGGAGGACGTTGCTTCACTGGCACAAGTTGGTACCATCATTGTGCTCTTCCTGGGTGAGGTAGATCAGTCGCCGGCTTCTGGACGGCCGCTCACTGTGGCTGCTGGCCACTCACGCTGGCTGCTGGCCACACACGGTAGCCCATGGCAACCCACTGCAGCAGGGGCTGCAGCCTGCGCCGTTCCCGGTGACTCACGGCAGCCCAGCTCCAGGTTGAGCTGTTGTTCAGCATCTTAGCTATGGAGGGCAGTGTCACTGGCCCTCATATGTGGGATCCAAACCGGGGCTGTCTGGCGTCCCACGCCAGCTCTTAACCAATGCGCCACTCGGCTGGCCGAGAGTAAGATTTTTAACATACATGTTCATCAGTTTACACATCTATGAAATGTAGATAACAATCTAATTCCTATCTCACAAAGTGGCTTAAAAGATTTTTTTTTAAGTAATATATGTGATGTTTTGTAACATGTGAAGCAATACTAGTGGACTTTCTTATTTCCCTTCTTAAATCCAACCTTCTAAATTAATAGATTTTTTTTTTGTTTTATAGATTTAACTCGCAATAAGTGTATTATGCAAGTGTGGTATTTTTGAAGCCATAGACAGTTGTGCTCACTGCTGTAAGCACTTATTACATAGAAAAATGTCTACAGTGACTTGCTGGAATCAATTTCAAAATAATCACAAATTTCTCTAAGCCCTGTATGCAAGCCCCTTTGCTGTTCCTCCCATCAAGAGGTAGAGAGTCTATATTTTCATCCTTGAATCTGGGCTTTGCTATATGGGATTTGCTTTAGCTAATAGGATATTAGAAAATATGACACAAGCAGTGACTTGAAAAGGGCTTGCACATTGGGACTTGCCTTCTTTCGTTGCTGGGACTTTGTGAATAAGCCCAGGCTAGTCTGCTGGATGATGTCACATGGAGCGAGGTTCCAGTCACCTCAATCATCCAAGCCACCCAGATGAGGCCACACTCACGGGAGTGGGTGAGGCCATCCTCAACCAACTAACCTCAGCCAAGCCAGTCCACAAAACCATGAGAAATAATAGATGTTATTTTATTGCACCAGCAAGTTTTGGAGTGGTTTGTTATGTAGCAAAAGCTAACTGATACCTTGGCCTAAAGTGGTTGCCATAGCTACAGAAATTTCCAGAAACTTCTCTTCAGTGATTTTAGAGAATAGCTACTTCTATGCTCAGAAGACCTCTAAGACTTCAAAGTACTATATTTGTGTGCAGTTATCATTTTATCTGAAAAAGTTACTCAACAAATGGAACCAAGGAATAAAGCAAATCTTGTAAGACTGACAGTCCCTAAAGATGACCCAGGACGTAAACAGTAGTTTGGTTAAGTGTTTAAAAACCAGTTACAGGAAATTTATTAGAGCCCCCCTTAGCTGCCATTTCTCTTCAACTAAACCTTCAAATTAACACTTGACCCTCTTCCTGCCCTGATCACCTACACCTACCCCTAGCAGAACAAAGTCCTGAGCAGCTCCCTCTAGCCTATCAAGATTTTATTTCTGAATTGCAGATGGTCCTGACTGATACCCATCAGAGAAGGTAAATAAGAAATCCTTTTTAACAAAACCTAGAGTTTCTATAATCAGAACATATTCAGAATTATATCACAAAGTTATAAGATTTTCTGAGTAAATTTAATGCAATAAACATGCCCCTGTGATAACTCCGGGAAAAAATGGGAAGAAAAATAACATATTACTGAATCAACAAAATATAAAGGAATGTGGAAATACAGTTATGATAGCATATCAAGGCTAGAGTAGTAGACTGAAAACAGATATTATTTTCCAAAGATGAGGTAATTTAAATTGCACTAAAAAGAGATACATGGTGGTATTTTTAACCACACACATAAAAAAATTCTATAAATCACCTCAGCAAACTAAAAAACAAAGTATTTATTCATATAAGCATACATAAAGGTAGTAAAATACTGAGCACTAGAGACATAATTTCAACTAGAAATGGAAATATGATATAATTCAATAAGGACACATAGTTATGACAGTACAGACTATTTGCCTTGTCCAATTAGCAGCCATCAAACTCAAACTTATCTGAAGTAAGTCCCAGGAAAATGAGCTAAATAACATTAATCAGATTGTAATGGTGAATTAATAATCAGAGATGTATAATTGCAATACAGGTAAATAAAGTTTAATTGCACTCGATGGGATTGAATAAATTATTATGTTGTCCTCAAGTATCATATCAAAAGTAAATCTAGAATAACTGGACCACTGTATAAAAATATTTAACCTGTATTTATTGAGTGCCTACTATGTGTAAATCAACCATTATACAGAATTTCTTTATAAAATTTGTGTTCCAAATGTTTATTTTAGACCTGTTATTTTCAAGTTGGGCCACATTTTATACCAAAAGAGTGCTATAAATAATAAGGCAGTTTCCCAAATTAGTTCGCAAAATCTGATTTATCTCCATATGTACACTTAACGCTCATTAGTACTGCCGTTATTACTACACAATGCATGGCAGCATTTCAGTAGAAAAAGAACTGCTGCATTACCAGCCCTTTTTGTGCGAGCTCCTCGTCCCCTGATCTCATTTTTCCCATTACCCAAACCACATTAAACTATCCAAGCTGCCCTGAATATGATAACTTTTACACAGGCTGCTATTTCTTTCTAAAATACCACTTCTCACCACCTTCCCCCTCCCAAACACACACACACACACACACACACACACACACACACACACACACACACACACACTCTTAGCTGTCTTGCGATCTTCAATACATACTTCAAGGCTAGACTCAAATATGATGCTTCTGTGAAGGCTTAATGGTTCCCTAAAGCTGAGTTACACCACTATCTCAACCACTTTTCATAAGTATGTATAACATAATTTCATTATAGCATCTAAGAAACGGAACAATAATTTATATGTTTATACATTTGTTTTCCCTTAGACTATAAGCTTCTCAAGACAGTCTGTATTTTATTTACCTTTATATTCTCAAGACTCAGCACAAAACCTGAAGTTTAATGTGTACATAATAAATAGTGAATAAAAAATGAATGAATGAATGAGTAAATCAATAAATGAGTGAATGATGGGAAGAAGATTGAAGTAAGGATCAGAGTGTCAAAATTACCCTTTCTAGGCTGCCACCACCAACTACCTGAGAAAATTAAGAACAATAAGCTTTCTGACTCCAATTTCTTCTTATGTTAAACAAGAGGGTTGGACTGAATCATCTAAAGATCTCTTAAATAGTAGCAATAAAAAAAGAAATAACATTTTTTGACTTCCTTGTAAATGTGTGACTCTGGCTCAGTTCTTTACACACAATTAACACTAATCTTTACAACACTCCTACAACATGGGTACATTTTATTCCCATTTTGCAGATAAGGAAACCAGAAACTCAGTTTAAGTAACTTAAGAACCCATAAATCATGAGAATAAAGTTAGGATTCATGCCCAAATCTGCCTGGTCCCAAAGCCCATATTACCCCTAAGAAGCTAGTAATAGAGTACATTGGCATCTTGTAGGCATACCGTAAGTGTTCAGATTATCTTCTTGCTTTTGCGTACAAGTGGAGGATTAACTATCCACTTCTGTATATGAGATTTCTGTGTCATCTAAGTGTGGTGATAATTCAGCCATCCTGTTCTGGGCTGCTAAGTGCACAAACCATACCAGTCATTACTGAAATCCACTTGAGATCCCGGCAATCACCTCTTCCCTTAAAACACACTGAAGCTCACAGGATTTTCTAAATTCTCAGCCAGGTAAAACCCCTAGTAATAAATGTTATGGATGGCAAAACCTCATTAAAATATTCATGTCACCAAAGAAGGTAGTATCTATTTAGAGTCTTTCTGTAGTAGAAAATATCTATTGCTAAACCTAAGGCATAGTGAATTTCTCAATAACAGGATTTTACTATATACATATGTAAGTGATTAGTTATACTGGGTCATTCTCTGCTTATTGGAAACAAAAACAAAACAAAAGATATATCCCTTAAGATCAGAAAATATGACTTTTTCATATCCTGTTACATCATACTATGAATTTAATACATGATTAGGTATTTATACCCAATCATACTTTGTTCTTTATGTTCGTGAACTTTGTCCCCAAATCACTTTAAAAAATGAAAAATCTGTTCAGAGTACTTTGTCATTTGCTTTCACAATTACACGGGGTGGAAATTTTTGGAAATATAAATACCAACATTTAGGAAAATATCTCAGAATTGAGATTATGGGAAACTTTCACTCTTCATACTTGCATTATTCATTTTGGCATTATTTTAATTTTCAACAAAGATCGTGCATTGGTTTTGTAATTAGACAAAGCAAGTATATAACCACAATCTTTAACAGTAACTTCAACAAATGTGTATCACATAAATCTTATTAGAAACAATATGCATGATAAGCCAGAAAGTTTAGATTTATTTTGCCCCTAGATGACTTAGCAACTCAGCATGAGAAGACAAATTCTGTTCAGATATGGAGAGTATTCTAATATCTGGCCTTGAATGAGTATCTAGGGATTGACAGCATCTCGCCAGAATGCCATGCAATATTGAGTCACAAAAATTTCTTTAATTTAAAATCACCTCAAAAGTATAGTCAAACTTTTGGCACAGGGAATACTATGAGCCCATGAGGGAAATGTTCTAATCCTTCAACGAAAGGACTCCAGGTCATGTTCTTCATTTAAGCCTATATCACCTCTTAATCTTGACAGCAAAATCCTCACCAAAAAATTGGCAAGCACACTAGGAATGATGCTGCCAAACAGGCATCATTACTGATCAGTTTGGCTTCCTCTCTGCTGAAACATGAAACTATCTAACAAAAATTGCTTGATGCAAATCACAAACAGGTTTTCTCAGAATTTGGCTCCTTTGTTTATGAGCAGAAGGAAGAAAAATTTCCCTATAGTTACCTCTGTGTGTCCATGAACACTATATATCAGATGTTGGCAGACTATGGCCCATGGGTCAAATCTGGCTATCCCCCACACCCTGCCTGTTTTGTAAGGCCTGCAAACGAAGAACAGTCTTTTAAATTGTTGGATAAAAATCATCAGAAGAGCAATGTTTCATAACATGTAAAAATTATATATAATTCAAATTTCAATGTCCATAAATAAAATTTTATTGAAGCACAGACCACTCATTCATTTATGTATTGTCTATGGCTGCTTTTGTGCTACAACAGAGTTTAATTGCAATGGTGACCATATGGCCTTCTGGAGTGGGTTCAGTAGTATCTCCCCAAAATTCATGTCCACAAAGAACTTCAGAATGTGACTATATTTGGAAATAGGGTCTTTGTAAATGGAATTCAGTTAAAATACTATCATACTGGATTAGAGTAGGCTCAAAATTCAATATTTGTAAAAGAGGAGAGGACACAGAGATACACAGAAGGAAGGAATCCATGTGGAGATAAAAGCTGAGATTAGAGAGAGGCATCTTCTAGCCCAGCAACACCAAGAATTGCCAGCAATCACCAGGAGGTCAAAAGAGATATGGAACCATATCTCCCTCATAGCCTTCAAAACTGTGAGAGAATAAATGTATTGTTTTATGGTATTTTGTTATGGCAGTCTAGAAAACTAATGCATCCTCAAAATCTAAACTATCTGGCCATTTCCATAAAAATGTTGTTTTCTCTTGGTATAGAGGATTGTGCCCTGGAAGAAAACCCACACAGGATAAGTTACCCCAGACCAACTCAACCAGGGCCTAGTAAGGGCATAAAAGCATCAAGAGACCAAAGGGTAATTATGGAAGAGGAAAGTTCTTACCACACATGCTCTTATTTAACTTACAAGTTTTCTTAATCTCACAGAATACCAATCACTTACTTTAGCTGTTGATCACAAGTGTTATGTCACATTGCATGAATTTCAATAATGTAATGATTTTTTCAACTTAAAAGTTCATGAGCGTCTCACTGTTCTGTTTTCCATGAGTGTAACAGGGCGTCAGTGTCTTAGTATGAGAGGCCAATGATCAAAGGTGGAGGTGGGGGCTGGGGAGATGGTTAGCGACTTTCACTGAGGAGTGATCCACTATAACTCTACCCAAATCTGGTGCAATAACCATGCCACCCCCTTCCAAGTTTCTGATACCACTATTGCTATCACTATAGAATAGTCTAACAGAAATATTTTAAAATCTATAAACTCAGAGGCATTCAATAAATATATGTTGATTGATTAATTGAATATCCATTTCTATTAATTGGTAACAATTAAAGAAGATTCAGGGTTTTATTGAATGTTTCTTATATTTGATTACAATAATCTCCATTGCTGCTGCTCTACTAGAAATGATATGAGGATAACGAAATGTTTCTTTCTCAATGACCACTTAATTTTTGTGTAGCTTGAATGTATTTGATTCAAGATTAGATTTATATTTCCTTGGCCTAATTTTTCAAATCAAGGATGAACCATACCAGTGAGAGAAAGATAAAATATAATGTATAATTGTAATACAAAAATACCCATGATGCTGGTGATGGAAGTCTGGGAACTCTGTGCCCAGGATACCAAACAAGTCAAAAGGAAACTCCTATTTCAGTTAAGCACCAAATTATAATTTGCCTTGCATGCCAGACAACTTCAAAGACTTTGCTGATTCTTACACCGACCACCATGATTTTTCAAGCAAAGTGGAAGGTTCAAATTTAGTTTGATGAGCCCCTTGCTTCTTCTTGACTAAGAAAGAAACAAAATTGCCAAGCAGGCAAGTTACATGAGGCAAAGCTTCCTTCCAAATATTCTTTAGTAGAGAAGATATGGGTCAGCCAAAGAAGAATCAATCCCTCAGTGAAACACTGGGACCCTGAGTGTCCTGAGGCAGCTACTCTCAGGTCCTGTCAGGATATCAGATCCAGCTGTTCTCATTCTAGGTGTGGCTGCCTCATGAAAGAATGAAGATGGGGAGGCTAGCCTGATTGAGCTTGGGTGTTTAGTGTGAGCAGTAATAAGAAAAAGGAACAGAGAGTAGAGCTACTGAAGCTTATGTGTAGTGATTTTAAACATTTTCATGTCTAAAATGAAAGCATTTCATTTTAAAAAATATATGTTTTGTCAAGAGGACCTGGAGAGAGGACAGCAAAACAAAGAACAGGAGTGGTGTTTAATATATTGGATGATCTTCTTCACTATGTCTTTCTAGGATACATTTCACAAGACACCAAAAGCAGAAGGCAAAAAATTCTGAGACCCATGTGAATAGTGATGTAAAGATTTCACTAAAATACAAGGTTTATCCAAATCCCATCATTCACTTGTGGGAGACCCCACTAGACTTCTGCACACCAACAGGTATCAAAGAGGGTTCATAACTGACTCATTATCAAGGGAGGGGTTGTCCCTGAAAACAAGGATGCCAGAATCCTCATTCCCAAAATACTGCTTCCCTAAGCACCTAGACTTTCTCAAGCATTTGCTACCTCCACAAGCTGCTGGAAATTCAGATACCTCCTGAGTCAAAAAAAACCACAGCGTCTTTATCTTATTTTGTGATTTTTACTGCTTCAAAGGACCTCTTTTCAATGCCTTTCCTAGCTTTTTATATTTAGAACACTCCATCTACTAAATCTATTTTATTATCTACTAAATCTATTTTTGACTGGGTCAACATTTAAATGGGCTGACTACACTACACATTTCAATTTTTTATTGTCATATTTGATCTGATCTAATAGGCATGACTGGCATTTTACTCAAGGCACTGTGCTTAAAAGTAGGAAAAAATGATACAGAGGTATTTAACTTTTCAGTTCTCCTCTTTGTGATAGATTATTAGCATACATATCTGTTCCTTTAAAGAAAGTGCCTGAAGACCTTCGCATAATCAAGGGACCCAGTGTATCAGCCTTCCTCCTGACTAGCCACCTGTAGAAATTGATGTTAGATTGCATCACTGAGCCACAATCTATCCATTTTCTGTTCTTAGTTTAAGTTTTGGTAACTCTAGTATTATATTTAGTTATTGAAATCTGCAGATTTATCCTGGTGTCAAAGTACCTGGTGATAGTCATGGTGTACTGAAATTGTTAAAACTACCATCATGTCAAGTGTTAACAGTGATTACACAACTCTGCTTTGCAACCATACTAAACAAACGACAAACTTTAAGTTTAATTATAATTATAATGTTTTTCAATTTTATGAATGAGATGACATTTTATAGCTTTATTTTGTTGGTGATACTTGAGATTAATATTTAAGAAGTTTTGCTGAGGTTTCACTTATGTGAAGCCTTTAACGAAATACTTGGTTAAAAATAGATTCCCTAGGGCCGGCCCAGTGGCTCAGTTGGTTAAGAGCTCGCTCGGGAGTGCGAGCTCTGAGCAACAGCGGTTTGAGTCCCGGCCCAAGCTGAGCTGCCGCTGAGCTGTCAACAGGTGGCAGGATGGCTCAGATAAAAAAAAAAAAAAATATATATATATCAACATAAGTATTATTGAAACCAAGAGTCCTTATGACTTTGATTAAATTTAGCTTTAAATCCTAGTTCTAGAAATCATATATATCTGCTCTCATGATAGCTTCCTCATCTTCATTCTTTCATGAGGCAGCCACACTTGAAACGACAGTGTATATATACATACACATAGACACACACACACACACACACACACACACACACACACACACACACACACTCCTCAGAGGCCTAACCTTCCCACCTCCGCATAATCAGTAACCCCTGAGGCAGCAGATGACAGTAGCTGGGATCTGACTGATGGTCACACGATCCAGACCTCTGGCAGGCTAAAGATAACATCTCGATCTAAGTTATGTTTCAGCTCCCAAGCCCTAAAGTGGAAGGATAACCTGGCTACTTTCCCATGAAGTCAGATAGAGGGACACTGGAACAGACCTCAGAACTGTCCTCAAGACCCAAAGAAATGACTTATTAACCTTACCTCATCTCCTACCAATCAGCTCCCAGCACAACCCAAAACCCCCTAACCATGGTCTTGTGATTTTGCCCTATGTAATCTGTAACTCACACACCATCGGGGAGTTAGGGCTTTTGAGCATTAGCTTCACGTTCTCCTGGGTGGCACCGTTCATAATAAAACAGCCAATATTTACCCACTGCAATTATCGTTGTTTAGTATTTGGCTCTGCTAGCGCCAAGTTGACAAACTGATTCTGTTCTGTATCACTCATTTTGAACATGAATTGAATTTGAAGAATTGTAACCTTGTAAGAGTCTATTGTTCTAATTTCTTATGATTCAGAGACTGATGGGATTATGCTATATTTCCTTCCTTCAGATTCATTATTCAATATGAAGCTACATTTAAAAAGACAGTGAGAAGAGTGGGATCTTAGAAGAAGCTGCTTTGCTGTGAGAATAGCACCAGACAGAAGACTTGGATTCTAATCTTTATTTTGTTATGAACTATTGGGTTGTCAGAAAAGTCAGGACACATTTTTGCAATGAAAAAGATAGAAAAAATACATCATGAATTTTCCGACAACACAATAGTTGAATTTAGGCAAATCACCTACTATTTCCGGCACCTAATCCTACTGGTAGCATACATGTAGGTAACCAATTTAAAAATGACAGCATTATGACTATAGTTAGTAATACCATATTACACATTTGCTATTGGCTAAGAAAGTAAATCTTAAAAATTCTCATCACAAAAAAGAATTTTTTGTAACTATGTATGGTGACCAATGGTAACTAGACTTATTGTAATAATCATTTCATAGTGCATGTAAATATTGAATCATTGTTGTACACCTAAAACTAATATAAAGTTATGTCAGTTATACTTCAACTAAAAAAGAAAAAATGAAAAAAACAAAAGAAAAATAAACAAGTTTATCTAGGAATAATTTGCATAATATATAATGAAGAAGCTCTAAGCTTATATCTAAAGAAGGAAACGAGACTTGAAAACACAGACATTTGTTGTTCTGGAAGGATCAACTCAGTATTATAAAGATGTAAATTTTATGCGTATTGATTTATCAGTTTTGTGTAATCCCATCAAATATTCAGAGAGATAATGTTTCTGAAATTAAAAAGTTGACCTTAAATTTCCTCTGGAAGAGTAAATGACTAGAAAATTGACTTTTTTTAACAGAAGAACCAGAAAGGATAAATTTCCCTATCAGATACCAAAATATATTACAGAGCTATAATAATTAAACAAAGATATATTGATGTAGAAATAAAAAGATAATTCAGTAGAACAGAAGAGAGAATCCAGCAATATACCCATGGTTTTATGAGAACATTAACGTATATGAATGGTAGCATTTAAAATCAATTGTGGTGGAATATACGGGGAAAAAAATCAAGTGAGATCCTTACCTGACATTATACTTTAAAATAAATTCCAGTTGAATTAATAATCATAACATTTAAAAAATTATAACTAACATAAAGGAAATACAGGAGAATATATATGTACTGTTAAGGCAGCAGAGTCATTCTTAAACAAGATAGAAAACCCAAAAGCTATATGGAAAACAACTGACAGAAACCAAACTTTCTGCACATCAAAAGACCATGTAAACTAAGTTAAAAGAGATAACAGACTGGAAGAAAATATTCGCAACCTATAGCAGAAAGAGGTTCATTGCTATAATATGTAAAGACTAAAAAGCTTTTTCAAATCAATAATAAAAAGACAAATAATCCAGTATAATAAAGTGACAGAATTAGAATGAGAAAAAAAAAGGAAAAATGATTAAATAATATAAAAAGATGCTGATCTTAAGTGATTCCCGTTAGATTAGAGAAAACTGAACAATTGATATTATGCAGTTTTGATAAGGGAATGGGGAAATGGGCATTTTCCCCACTGTTCACCTTACAATAAATAACCACAACATTTTTGCAGGTCAATTTGGCAACATCTATCAATATGTTAAAGATTATGATGACTAATCACAACTTTAATGAAATAATCTTACTTCTGACAATCCAATTTACAAAAATACTTCTGCATGTGGACAAATACATATATTGATGATATAAAAGAGAAAAAATTAAAACAACCTAAATATTCATCAATGGAGAGAATGAGTAAATAAATTTTAATATATCCATATGAACTATGAAATATGATGTGGCTGTTTAAAGAATGAGATTTTTCTATACATACTCTTAGGGGAATTCTTCAAAATATCAAGTTAAAAAAAATCACAAAATAGAATAGATAGACTACTTGGAATCATTTGATTCATTTCATTTGTAAAACTCATCTACCTATCTGTGTGAGCATGAAAATGGATAGGAGAAAAGTTCAGAAAGATAGATCACAACATGTTCACAGAGAGTAGAGGAATTTCTCAAAGAAGGACTATAGCGAAGAAGAATTTGTTTCAGTTACTTTATATTCTACTGTTCCATTTTTTAAAACTGCACAAAGTATGTGTATATCTTTTCTTATTAATAATTTTTATGGAAAGGATAGAAGCTAGCACTGTATGTTATTTTTATTAAAATAGCTCCCACTTTATGCAAGCCTACTTGGTCATGTAATAAACTAGTGGAGTTACAAAATCTCAAAGTCTAGAGCTTTCTTTTGCTACACATGTATTTCTTTTCCTTATTTTTCATATTTATGCAAATATCTCCAGTTTTTATAAAGGTTAGGCTAATATAGAAGCCTGAAAATTTTTCATGACTATCTTTCTGGGCCTTTCTAAATATACCCAAAGCCAACTGTTAAAGCTGTCCTTCAATACTGGCATGACCAACAAATCTGTCATTTTTCCTAGAGGATACAATAACTCCAGAGCACTACCACTGCCAAATGATGCTACCAGTTCAGCCAGCCAGGCTCTGGGCTAGACATCAACCCTGAATCACATGATATTGGTGGCTCTGCATCGTCAGAACACAATTTCAATTTGATATGCAATCTTCCACAAAGTTCTAAGGTTCTTGCTTTGTAAGGGAAAGGGCACTTTTGAACTCAGTTACCACACATTTGGGACCACTTTTTGCTATTTATTTGCAGTGTGATCTAGGTAAAATCGTTTCACCTTTTCATGCCTTGGTATCTATTCCATCATTGAAATAGTACTAATTCTTAACTCACAGGATCTGGACCCAAAACTAAGTTGATTCAATTCCAGAACTCTTAACTGCTACACCAGAAAGAGCCCTGCCTCTTGGTATATTCTTACGTTTCACATTTTGTAATTAAGATGACAATAATCATCGTGAGCATTGTAATTGTTATAAATTATCTCTTTTTAATAATTTTTATCAAAATTGGAGGGAAAATCACAAACTACAAAAATAAAATTTGCATATGGGTAACAAAATACCAGTCAAAAAATTCAGAGTGAAAATAAATTATTAATAAATTGCTACTAACAAGATTTTTAATTAGCATCCAGGGAAAAGGGGGAGGGAGGGAGGGAAGGAAGGGAGGGAGGGAGAGAGAGAGAGAGAGAGAACCCAAAACATATTCATTACTTTATCTGGACTTCCTATGAGAAGGGTGGAATTAAAAAAAAAAATCGAGTGCAAATTTTCAAATTGCTGTTTACTCTGACATCCCTTTACTGGCTCTCCCAGCTAAGCCTCAGATGAAAAGATGTCCAAAGGAGGAGAGTTAATCACCTACTTATATTAAACAGCTCTGGCTTGTAGGATATTTAAGGAAAAGCGTAGTTTAAGAAAAGATAGTTATAAGGAAAGCAAAATATGGGAATGTAGCATTTGCTTAATCATGTGAAAGTCTAAACATTAATTAAAATTGACATTAATTAAGAAATATAATCCCACCTCCCTCATGAGAGCAGCTTACTGAAGGGAAAAGACAACTAATTACTCACATGGAATTGCCAATTCTACTACAGGCTTTCTAGGGCCTTCTGCAGTGCCCCCTCAGCTTCTCTCAGAATTTTTCCAGGAATTCTGCCTAAGGAAGAAGCCAAGAAATGGCTTCACTGCAAATCTTTGCTTTACAAATGAGTATAGTCATGAGTTGACCACGTTTCTGTCAACTTCCAACAATTGTGGTCCCATAAGATTATAATGGAGCCACACAATTCCTATCACCTAGTGACACTGTAGCCTTCTGTTATCATAGCACATGCACTACGTGTGTTTTTATGATGACACCGATGTAAACGAATCTACTGGGCTGCCAATCGTATAAATAAAGCATAGCACATACAATTATCTACAGTACGTAATACCTGACCATGATAATAAACGACTGCTACTGGTTTATGTATTTACAATATTATACTTTTTATTATTACTTTAGAGTATACTCTTTCTATTTATAAAAAAAGTTTACTGTAAAATAGTATGCTGTTACACCAGCAGCAGCCTCATACATCACGTGTTTACCCCATCTCGTGATCACATCATTTTCTCTTGTGCTTGATTTAATCTCATGTTGTTTAGATCTGCTTAGATACACAGACACTCACCACTGGATTACAATTGCTTACAGTAGTCAGTATGGTAACATGCTGTACAGGCTTGTAGCCTAGGAGCAATAGGTCATACCATATAGCCTGGTGTAGAGTAGTAGGCTACACCATGCAGGTTTGTGTACCTGTACTTTGGGATGTTCACACAACAATAAAATTGCCTAAGGATTAATTTCTTAGAATGTATCCCTATCGTTAAGTGATGCATGACTATATTTAGTAACAGCTCTGCTGATGTGTTTTTCTTATTTCCTTTTTACTTCCAAATCTCTTCAGAGGTTTCCACCAAATCCCACTTACTCCAAGGTAAAAAGGAAACCCAGCATTTATTGAAGACCTTCTAAGTGCTGGGTGCTGGGTTATTTTATGTATTATCTCAGAACATTCATCATATCTCCTGCACATTTTCATCCAACTCCTAACAAAAACCTTCTCACAAAGCACACCTTAAAGCAACAATAATACATTGTCTTAACAACTCTTTAAGACATAAATTTTTATGCACGTCTTACAAAAGAGGAAACTTGGGCTCAGAGGACCTCAGTCAAATCTGTAAGGTTACAACATTGCAATCAAGTGTTTGAACCACCTGAAATTGAACCCATGTTCTCAAATACTGTAGTCCCACTACACCACAGCTGTTTCACCCCAAGAATAGTAAATTCTCTATAGACAAGTATTAATTTTAGAAATGGCCCAAAGTATAATGAATAAAAATTATATGTTGAAAGCTAATTGAATACTGGAATGTTTCTACAAGGTGTTAATATTATTAAATTGAGTGATCAAGGGGTAATATAATTTATAGTAATAAAAATCGTCCTCAGAAAGAATTATAAAGTATTAAGATAGAGTTTCTCATGTGTCTTGTGAGGCCCATCCGAAAGAGGAATGTTCCCCAAACTGATTTGCAGATTAACATTGGTCTGAA